TGGTAATGTGCCTTGCTGAGGGACCGCAGGCTGCCCCAAGGAGATCTGCGCTTCCACCTTCCTTTGCCTCCCTTCTTGTCTCTGTGCAGTGAGTTGGGTAGATCTGACCTAGATTAGAACCACTAACCTGACCAAAAAAGAGATTAATTCTAACCTGAATTTTTCTCTCGGTCTGAGACGACAGTTCATGATTCTGTACATGCTTTTTGATTCACTCCAGATTAAAATAATACTCCTGTGTTTGGATTGCCCACTTTTTTTTTTTTTTCTTTTTTTTTCCCCTCATCTTCTGCTCACTACTCCTTTTTCTGTACAAGGAGGAAACATTACTGGAACTGCAACTTTGATGTCTGATTATGAGGCTACTAGCATTAGGTTGCGTTAGGTGGGTGCAAGATAAAGCCATGTTCTGCTTTATGTGTGTAATTTAAAAGCTTTTTTACTGTTTGTGCTTGCTATCTTAGAAGATGTTATATATCTTATATATGTATCTTGATAGATATGGTGAAGCCTTGATGTGGTTGCTGCCTTGAAGAGTTGGTTTTGTCAGGACAATTTGAGATAGAAATCAGGTGAGAGGTAAATAAGGCAATCTTTAAATGAGATAGTTTTTGTAACTTCGACAAAACTATACTGCCCTGTTGCAGGTCTGCCACATTTTCAGGTAATAAATTGAGAAGTCTTCAGTGGTATTTATTTGCCAGTGGTATTTGTCCTTAACACATTTTAGGTGTAGCAAGGCAACACATGCGATGTATTTATCAGCACATGAGTTGTCATTGTCCCTTAAGTTTTGTGATAGAAAAGCTCTTTGCAACACACACCAACTTACTCTTTCTCTTTTTCACTATGATCTGAACAGCATGAGGTCTTGCATCACATCTGCTGACGGTAACACGAGGGAAGGAGACTCCTGTCCTCCTAGCCTCCCCCCAGGTCTGTGACTGTTGCTAGTTAAAGGCTGAGGAAGTATTTCTTTATCAGGCTAACATTGAGAAATGTCCTGACATGGTAATTTCAACCTTATGCAGAAGATACATTTTTTACAGAATGGACTAAAGTTGTGCAGTGCTTAGAGAGCTTTTGTGTTTTGCTTATGGCAGCGTGAGAGTACATGGTCTTTGGAATAAGCAGTAAGGTTCATGTTTGGGAATTTACAACAATTCTCACGTTTGTTGTAGTCCTGCTTAGCTGCTGGTTTACCTCACAGCACAGAGTGCGAGCTAGCATGGAGATACTAAATAAGTTGTTCACTATCAATTTTCTCCTTTGGAGATGAGGAAAAAGGGCAACAAGATACAACTTCATCTGCCCTGCAGAGGCATCCTGAGCTGGCCATGTCTGCCAGCTGTTCAGATTTACAAATGGTTATTACAAGGCACTACCAATCTCCAGGTGCCTGGTTAGGTCAGAATACTGACTTGCTTTTCTTATAAATGAAAGGATTTGGAGCTCTTGGTCGTACAGAGAAATTTGTAAAGATATCTTGGGCATCTTGATGAGCCAGAGTCTACCTGAATCTGCATATGGTCTAAGTCAGTATCTCTGAATCGTATGAATTTCCGCCTGTATCTGAACTTGCTCTATCATCTACTGTGTTGACAAAGCACGGTCACTGCTCCCTCTGTGTCAAAACGCTCTCCCTGCACAGAACTTACCTATTGCTTGCCCCTGGCTGGGGAAAGGCCAGCAGAGGGTTAAATGTATTGCAGCAGAACTGATAGGGGTTCATCTTGTATTACTCCTTATTTTTTTTTTCCGTTGCACTACTTGAAGTGCACTTTAAGTGAAGTAGTGAACACGCTACTTGAGTGTGTTCAGTAGTGAAATACTCGAAAGTATTAAATCACTTCCATTTTTATGTTTGGGGAAACTGAGGCAGAAATGTATAGCCGGAGAGTTGATTGAAATCCGTTATCTCTAACCATTGCTGCACTGTTTGTAACAGGAAGCAAGTGCTTTAATGACCATATGTTTTGTAACAGGATCAATCTTTTCAGCTCCTGCTGTTTTCTGGAGACAAGGCTAGGTTCAGGGTCGGCCTTGGCAAGCAGGAGTCTGTGACTTCCGAAAATGGCTGTTTTCTCATGATTTCCTGGCTCACTGGGATGTTAAGGCGGTTGAGGAACTCTGTGTTTGCTCTCCAAGGCAAAAAGAGAATGTGAATCTCTATCATTCCCTGCATACACTGGGAGGATGTGGAGCTGGATTGTGTTAGAAGTCCTCCGTTAGAAAGGGAGGATTTTATACAGCTAAGTCTTTTTATCTCCTATATTTGTCAACAAGCATTAAATTAAGTGGTAATAAAATGGCCACAATGAAATTGCTCAGAAACAAGATTGAAGATGTAGAAACTTTTATTTCCTTCCATTTTTGCCATTGCAAAAATAATGGAACTATGCCTTTCTTCCTGTAAGTTTTGTCATGGTCCTAAAATGCAGTGTAAGGATGTTGTCTATTTAGGCAGGAAATGGGAGGCAAGGTTCCAGACATGGGAAGATCGATTTGATTCAAGGAAATCTTTCTAACAACAATCCTAGTTTGCTGCTTGCCAAAATGTGAGGTCAGAGAGCTGATGGAAGGTGGTGATATCCACAGATTCTTGACTTCTTTTCTTCTGTGTCCGGCAAATTGTAAGGATGCTCTTTAAAGTCTCTACTCCCAAATCTGGAAGGATAATATAAATAACACCACTCATTTTTAGAGGTTTTTATCCCGAAACTGTCCTCTATATATTGGGGTCACATGTAACATGTGAATTCTGGAGCAAATTCACTCCAGAGTCTAAATACTAAGACTTCTGGACTCTTTAATAAATTTTAATTCTGGATAGAAAAAATCAACTTCAATTTTCCATGTCAGTATGAGATTTTTTTTCTCTGATTTTTAAATTACACACACACACACAAACACACACACACACACACAGATTCCCTTTTGTTTTTGCTCTTTGCTGTCGACTTATTTTTGCTCTCTATCGAACAGTTAATCTTTTGGGATGAAGCTTCAAAAACAAGCTTGCTGAAATGGTGGGCACTGCTGAGGTGGGAGTCAGAGATTGTCACAAAAATCAACGAACCGTTTCAGAGAACAGGGTTGTGAAGACACCGAGAAATGTAATCAGAATGGAAAATTCTGGTGGATTGAGAACTGGCTGGATGGCAGAGCTCAGAGGGTGGTAATAAATGGGGGAGTCCAACTGGAGGCCTGTGGCCGGTGGTGTCCCACATGGATCTGTACTGGGCCCAGTGCTGTTCAACCTGATCATCCATGACTTGGACGAGGGCGCAGAGGGCACCTTGAGCAAGTTTGCAGATGAGACCAAGCTGGGTGGAGTGGCCAACGCTCCAGAGGACTGTGCTGCCATTCAGAGGGACCTGGACAAGCTAAAAAGTTAGGCAGAGAGGAACCACATGAGGGTCAGTAAGGACAAGTGCAGGGTCCTGCACCTGGGGAGGAGTAACCCCAGGCACCAGGACAGATTAGGGGTTGACCTGCTGGAGAGCAGCTCTGCAGAGAGGGACCTGGGAGTCCTGGCTGACACCAGGTTAACCGTGGGCCAGCAGTGCCCTCGTGGCCAAGAAGGCCAATGGGATCCTGGCTGCATCAGGAGGATGTTGCCAGCAGGTCAAGGGAGGTGATTCTGCCCCTCTACTCAGCTCTGGTGAGGCCACACCTGGAGTATTGGGGGCAGTTCTGGTCTCCCCAGTATAAGAGGGATGTGGAGCTTCTAGAGAAGGTCCAGCGCAGAGCAACAAAGATGATTAAGGGATTGGAGCATCTGTCTTATTAGGAAAGACTAAGCAAGCTGGGCCTGTTTAGCTGAGAGAAGATTGAGAGGGGATCTGATCAATATGTGGGGCACGTAGGGAGTATGGGGCCAAACTCCTCTCAGAGGTGGCCAGTGACAGGACTATGGGTAAGGGGTACAAGCTGAAATACAGGAAGTTCCATCTGGATGTGAGGAAGAGCTTCTTTCCTGTGAGAGTGCTAGAGCCCTGGCACAGGCTCCTCAGGCAAGTTGTGGAGTCTCCTTCTCTGCAAATTTTCAAAACTCTCCTGGATGCGACTGGGTGCCCCGTGCTCTGGGTGTCCCTGCTGGAGCAGGGGGGGGTTGGACTAGGTGATGTCTAGAGGTTCCTTCCAACTGTAACCATTCTGTGAAAAACGTGGAGTAGTTTGTGCAAGAGCATAGTAAGGTGATGATCTGTTGTGTAGATTGTGAGAGGGTTTGGTCCAAATTCTGGCCGAGGGCAGGTAGCTACAGCTTATTATTAATATAAGGTCTAAATTTTCCCAGGTGTTTCAGCAGGCTTCATAAGGCCATGTAGTGCAAGTTGGGATAACAAAACAACTGTTTGCCCCTTTTTTTTTACTGGAGAGGAAAAAGCACTGGGGCAAAGTAGCCTTTATATTATATTAGCTGCGAAGAAGACTAAATGCTGTTATATTTTTCTGCTCTAAATCTAGAATAACTATTACTTCAAGGCAGTCATTTTTGTATGGATGTTCTGCAAGGGGAACTGCAGCCATTTACATGTCCTGTTGTAACTGGCTTTTGCAGCACAGTAACTGAGTAGACTTTGACCCAGGCTTTGTGCAAAACAAAAATACGTACAGATACACTTCAGCTGCTCCTTGGTACCATTTGCTTTGCTGGCTCTCTTCAGGAAATGTGTAATGATTCCTTCCTGACGTTGTGTTCACTTCTAGAATTTATCTGCAACTTAAACATTAGATTAATCTGCATAATCTCTGATGGCTCCAGGTACCAATGTTAACTTAGTATCTGTCAGTAACTCAAGCAGCATTTCTATTCTTGTTTCATACTATGGGGCTTTCTCTAGTGAAGCATGTTCAGGCCCTTGCATGTTTCCACAATCTAACCTGTCTGCTCATTAGTCCCCTATGTAATATTCTCATTATCCTTCATTATCATAAACATTGTAATCCTTTTGCTTCTACATCACAGGTTCAACAGTGTGGCCACTCTTGATTCATATACTCACAGCAAAGCCTCCATCTGTCTCATGGATTATAGATCTAAATTGGTAACTATCTTTGTAATACTTAATAGCAGTTAAGTTAGTTGTTTGTAATGTATTTTCTGCTTCTGCTAAATCTTTCTTGTAGTTCTAGCACTTGTTTAAGTCTCCTTAAGGTCATGGATGCATTTCCTTTATGAGCTTTATTCTTAGGGCACCATACAATGGCTGTTAAAAAAAAAAAAATCTATTACTTGATAGCAATCTGATTCAAGATTTAATTTAATTCCTGGGGAAGGGGAAGAAAAAAAAAGAAATATTTTTTTCAGATGACGGAGCACATAAAGGAGACGATTTTATAACAAGGAAGTACCCTGAATGTGTTGTTTGTGAACTAGACTACTTTTTTGATATAGGTGCACTTCTTAATATTTTGTATGAGGAGAATAAAGACAGCATTAACTCTTTTGAAAATAAGTTATGCTTGAGTGAATAATATCTCTCGTGGATTACTGCTAAGTGATAAATATTAGAGATGAAAGGAGTCTTTTGGTTTAGCTCCCCTTTTCCTACCTTCTTTCATACTGCCTAATTTACAGGGTAGTTCCCGTAGTCTTTTCTCTTCTCCAGAAGCATCTATGATGCTCCTGCTACGTTTCCAGAAGAGCTTGGGCAGGTCAATGATCTTTGACTTTAGGACTGTTTTTTCTTACTTCTGCCTTTACTGAGCCACATTATTTCTGTTTTTATGAAGTGATTGTATCTAATCTCCTGTCTTCCTTCCACATTCATTAGTAACTTATGGATATCCAGGAGTCTAAAAGGTGTGGCTGCACCCTTCTCTTGTTGCCTGTATTATCACTATTTTCCTTTAAACTGATGGTAATATATTCATATTCTGTGTTTATGTTTTTATTTATTTTTCTGTTATCTGACTTTAATACCTGGAACATCAACATATCAAAATAGTAAAATGGAAGTATGAAAAGGAAACTTTGACTGTGCAACACAGGACTGGTTCCTAGCCATGACAGCATAGTCAGACAGCAAAATAGCATGTTAGACAAACAGTGGAGGTTCAATTGCTCAAGATATGTAAAGCTAGACTGGAGCTAATCTGAACTAGCATGCTGTCATAAGAGCTTTGAGCCTTAGAAATAGGTAATGGTAGTTTCATCTCTAGTTTCTGTTCCGTCTAACAAAAGAAAATCACATGTACTAGCAGATAATGGTGAAACAATTAAAATCAACCAATCAGGTTTTAATTGCAGCTGGTATAAAACACGGTAAAGTTCAGTTCGTGTTTTAAAAATAAAGCAATAAAAATATTGAAACTTACTTTTAAAATACATAGAATTCGTAACATAGAGAACACATGGATTCAGTGCAAATATTTCTTTATGTATAGTTTTAAGTTCCATCAGCATTGACTGCCTTTCCCTGTTGACTGAAGTGACTAAGAGTGGTCAGGAGGACCCTTTGCCAAAGGTAATTTGGACTCCTTCCTTGCTATATTGTGAGAGATAGTGGGTCATGAAAACACCCATGTCTGTCAACAAGGATGTGTGTGGCTGTTAGAGGAGGCTCAACTTCCCAGCTAATACTGCAGTTTTTATTTTTTGTTGTCTATTGCTAATTGTTGTCGATTGCCAATGACTGCAAATCAATAGTTGTTTTTCTGGAGGTGAGTGCATGGCAAGATACACCAGTTGATTTCTACCCGCTTCTTCCAACAGAATCGGTTTAGACAGTTCATGTATTGTTTTTCATAGGAGTTGGCTGTAGGCACTAAATATTGAAGAGCTGGGGTAAAAGTTAACCAACATTACTGATTTGTAAGAGCAGTAATATTTGAATGATTCATGTTACCCTACAAAACTATTTGGTTCTTCACCAGTGATAGGCACAAATGTAAAGAATGAGGCTGAGTGGATGTATTTAATTGAGCAATCTGAGCATTTGTTTGCAGTGGAGGCTGGTTTTCTCTGAAGGTGTCTTAGGGCAACTGGCTGCTGCCTAAACTGCATTAGACTGAAGTAGAAAATTAAGGCTGGAGAGGCATCTTGATTGAAGAATGCATTCTTGGGGGTCTAAAAAGCTCTAAGTGAAGATTTGTATTGATATTGGAGCATTTATAGGGTGGTTCTTTTGTGTGGATTCTCTAATAAAAGACGAGCTTCCACTGCAGACTTTTTTTTTCCCCTCAAAATGTATTTTTTAGCTATGCAACAGCCTCTTCTCACAAAACTTGAAGCAAATGGATATGTTTGAGACTCTGATTCCATTTCTAAAGCATATAGGGAAATTAAGTTGTCCATATCAGCTTTTACCTACAGAGAAATAGGCTACTCAGGCAAACAACCAAAAGATGCAAGGGTTCATACTACAGATTTCTTGATGATTTTCTTACTGGCAACTTCTTGTGTGCGCTATTTTTTTTTTGTGATGAAGTTAAATATTGTAGAGGAATTTGCTCGAGGACTATTTCAAAACAGTCAAAACAGAAACCATTGCAGGCTTCTTGCTTGCATTCTTTGGACAAGGTTGCAGTCTGATGTTTTCTCCACTTCTCTTTCCTGCTCAGTGCAGGATGCCCGCAGGAGGGGTGGTTACATGGACATTTTTCTCAGAAGCTCAGTGACTGCCATCCCTTCCCACCCTTTGGTCCGCTCATCTTTGCTTCCTTGAGCGGAGAACAGAACCAACTTAAGGAAAAAAATAACCCTGAAAACTAGGAAAAATTATTAGGAGGAATTATTTTTAGCAGGAATCAGATCACTGTGCAGTTACTAGCATTGGCATAAGCAGGGAACAGGGATGGGACAACAAGTGGGTGAGCAAAGGTAAGGATGAGAAGAGGAGATGGGTCTGCTCATTCTTTGCTTGAAGCTGCAAGCACGTATGCTCAGGCAGCCTTGTGAACCCTTCCAGGCTAAATGCTCATGGAGCACAACTTCACCAGTTATCTGCAGTCATTAGTACGACTATCCCTCCAGTTCTACTCTACTAACTGGAGGAGGGAGAGGGAAAAGACAAATTTAAGCAAGGAGATGCAATTTGCCTTTGAAAATTTTGTTCTCTGAGCCTGCCTCTAATAATTCAGTGAACTGAACTGCAGCATCTTCTGTGTAGCACGGTCGCGAGCCCGCAGCAGCGACTGTTGTGCTTCTATGACAACAGCACCACTTTCTGTCCAACTGTCATTTGATCTTATTTTCTACATTATGCTTCTAACAAAGCTGCTCTAGCTGGTCACATTCTGTAATTGCTTTTTTAATTGAGATGTGAAAGTAGCATTTGTAGCCAGGTACATTTTGGATGATAGCGATGAGGGGGTTAATGGAGGCAGCAGTGTTTCAGTTAAAAGGTTCTCTTGGAGTATTTGAGTGCGTTCCATGAGGGTAGCTGAAAAAAAAAAAGATAATGATTAGTGGGATACTTCTTCTTTAAAGGTCTACCTGTACATCTTCAAATGACCAGGTTTCAAGTGATAAGGGCATGTCACTCTTCAAGCCTCTGAGAAGTAAAGAATTTTTTTCCATATTAGCAACTGCACGTGTGGGTTGGCACTTGTGGAAATCACGTGTGGGTGTGAGGAAGATAAATTACTCAAATATAGAATAAGTCTCTCTCTTCCAGTTTGGTGATGCTACAAATCAGCTAATCATTTGGATTTATTATTTTTGCAGCTGAGTGTTCTATTTGAAACTGGCAGTGTATGCATTTCCCTGAGCATGTGTGTTTAAGTCACTTGGTGTTGAATTCTTTATTTTAAAAATTTCTATTAAGAACCACAAGATATGAATAAAGATATTTTGTCTGATACACTGGTCAGAAGAAAAATTGTACTTGAGCTTTTTGTAGTGCTTACCAAGGACCTTAGTCTTATTTAATAGCAATTGAAGTTAAATTCTGATAGATACTGGTCTTTACTGTATCCTGTAGAACCTCATTTGTAGGAAGATATTACTGCATTCAGTGGAGCTGTTGAGTCCTGAGCTATTGATATTAATGTGCAGTATATGAACGAACTTTTTGTTGCACTAGGCCTTGTCTGTGTGAGAAAACTGCTTGTATTTAACCAGAGCTAAACAGTCGTACATGTTTTACTGAAGTCTAAACAGAGATGGTTTTAGTTTGTTTCCCATCTCTTGGGAACTTAGGTTAAAATGATATCCCATTTCAAGTCAGTTTTGAACAGAATATTATTTTATAGACATTTAACTACATATGTTTTCAAAACTTTTGGTTTTTGACTTTTTGCATTTTGTTCTTTTTTTCCCCTGTCCAGCAAGTGAGTGAAGTCCACGTTTGGATGAGACTTGATTAAAAAAGGAAAGTATTCAGGCAAATGCTCAGAGTAGATGGGAATTTTGTTCCCAAAGATACCTGTGAGTCCAAGTTGAAGGAAATATTAACTTTGGATGCTGGGGGAGAAAAAGACTTCAGCATCCTTCCAGCCTCTGACATAGCAGGTGAATAACACATATCCTAGTTTGGTGGGAGAGGTGCTACTGCTGTTAGGAGCTGTTGCCCTAGTTGAGAGTTGTTGCCCTAGTTGACTTTGGGAGCCCAGGGCAAGTCATTTGCCTTGGGCCAGGCTTTGAAAGGAACTTTAAAGATGAAAAGCTGGCATATCTGTTACAAGGTAAATTCTTCCAAGCTTCCCTTTGCTCCTCTTTGTGATAAATCCAGTCTGTACCACAGCAGAAGGCAACTACACAAATACAGATGAAAAGACACTGGCCTTTTCCCATCAAGTGTCTGAGCTGTGTATGTTAAAGCAGATGGGTTGCTTGATGAGCTCCGACTGACTCAGTATTTCAGATTCCCTGATTGCTTTTTGGTTTCCAAAGTCGCTTGTGGGTCACCAGAGAAGGAGGGATCTTTGAGGCTGCATCATTTTTGTTTTGTTTGCTTTTGTTTTTACCCATTGTCCTCAACTCTCACCTTTGCCAGCAACCAGAAGAGTTAATCCATCCCTTCCAAATGCTCCTTGCAGCCCTACAGAGCCATCATGTTATATGGATATGCAGTTTATTTTAGCCATGGTCCTGACAGTAGATAAATGTTGGATGGATTCCAAGTTGTTAACTGAAGTTCCCTTTGCCCACTGATGTTTTTGTCTCATTCTATGGCTAAGTTTTTTCTGTTTTTTTTTCTTTTTTTTTTTTTTTAAAGGAAGAGCTTTTGTAAGAATAGAATCATACTGGTGCATGAGATAGTAATGCAGATTTCCTTTTATAACTATTAAAAGGGATTACTTAGTTTGACCTGCCTCAGTGATCACTTACTACACTGTGTAATATCGTGCAAGGTCAAAGATTTTGAGTTTTGGTTGCAGTACTGAAATTTATCACAGCAACAGCGCTGGCATCCTGCCGTTGGAGTAAAGAATGTTTTCCCACTAATATATGAACCATTAGCAGTAGCCATCTGTTATTCCTTTAAAAACAAAGCAATGTAACAGGTGCATTTGTTGGGTTTGAAAAATCTTACCAGTGCAAAGGAATAACAGAAATTAAAAGTCAGACCTTACAAAGAGGATTTCAAGGTGCATTCCTCTTTCTTGTGTAGATGTAATGGTTATGTTGTTAGAAAGTGGAGAGAGAAGCTAAACTTAGGATGTGCAGTTAAGGAAAACAAGACTAACTGCTCTTAACTTTGCTTTGTTTTAATGTTTTTCATTTTCTTAGATGGCTTCAGTAACAGATGCCAGATACAGGCAGAAAGATACTTCAGATCAAAATTTTGATTACATGTTCAAACTCCTGATCATTGGCAACAGCAGTGTGGGTAAAACGTCCTTCCTCTTCAGATACGCAGATGACACGTTTACACCAGCCTTTGTTAGCACAGTAGGAATTGACTTCAAAGTGAAAACCGTTTATAGGAATGACAAGCGAGTGAAACTGCAGATTTGGGTGAGTACCAACATTTTCCCCAAAAATGCCTTATTTTAAACCTAACAGAGGTTTGATGGTAAATACGACCTCTTTGGAAATAGATTGTGGGTTAGTATAGATTTATGTGGCTCCTGTGGCTGAACTTGTACAGGTAAGCTGAAGGGTCCCTTTGCTCAAAAACCCACCTTGGGACTTTCTCAAACTTGAAGTTACAGCATCCAAGGCCAGCAAAACAAACACGCAAACATGAATCAACGTCTCCTGAAGTGCAGAGTGGAAGACCAAAGACAAGCAATTTGGTGAATAGCTTGTGATGTTTGCTTATTTTTGTGAATAACAAATGATTTCTTTCATGACAAATGTTGACAAATTACTTAAATTGCCTTTGTCCTATGGAGCTGATCTTGGTAGTGCATGACCCTCTGTGTCCCAGTGAATTATTAAACATTTTAAAAAGCTAGGCTAAGATTGCCTTATTTTGAAGTACCAAAAAGCCTCAGCTGAATTCCTGAGCAAAGTTTTCTTCTGTTTTGCAGAAAGATCTCAGATAATGGTGACAGAGCCCTGGAACAGGCTGCCCAGGGAGGTTGTGGAGTCTCCTTCTCTGGAGGTCTTCAAAACCGGCCTGGATGCCACTCTGTGCCACGTGCTCTGGGTGTCCCTGCTTGAGTAAGGGGGTTGGACTAGATGATCTCTAGAGCTCCCTTCCAACCTTAACTATTCTGTGATAACAGAGATCAGACTGTCATTCTCTTAAACAACTTCTAGGAGGTAATTCTATAGCACAGAATGTCTGTCTATTAATGGTTTCTCCCACAGGTCAGGTTGGGTATTGGAGGTAAGTTGGAACTGCACAGCATTTCACCCAACACTTGCCCCAGCCAAGAGCACAGTCTTCTAACTGATCCATATGCAGCAGATTTAGAATTAATCTTTAATTATCAGATCTCAGTGCAATAGTATAGTAATTACAACATTAATTCTCATTGTGACTGTCATGAATTTAGAGTAATAATCTAAAATGAGGATTTTTCCTCATTTTATATCATTTCTTTTTTCTTCTTATGTGGCTGGGTGCCAGATACAACAAATGAAATAATAAAAGATCCTCTTTGTTGCTAAATCCTGGTTTTGAAACTAGAACATGGCATGGAACTATTTACTTCCAGTAAGAGTTTGAGTTATGGAAATATTCAGACTTTAGGCCCACTAAGAAATTTAATGTCTTTCATCCTACATTTGATTTTGTTAACTTCAGAACATGAAATTCTCTAGTAAATTGTTTAAAAATAAGGCAGAAAGAACATGAAAGATGCATGCTTTTTATAAAGGTACTGGAATTAAAATTAATTGAGAGAGTTTTACATAAATCTGTTCTGAAGGGATTTTTGTTGTTGTTGTTAAAAAATTAAAAAAAACTTCCCATGAAAAGGGCTAGTTTGTCAGGGTAATTCTGCAGAGAGTACTAGCTGAAGTGTCTGTAATACTCCAGTATCAACAAGATTGATATGAACTTGTATTTTCAATACAAAGTTCATGTCAGTGCTTGACAGTTCCGGGGGTGACTTGTGCTCTTTATTTCTGTGCTCCTTGCCAGTATCCCTGATGTGCATCATGATTTAAGAACCTTAACAAAAGCTTTAAGTGTGGACATCTTAAAAAACAAAAAACAACAAAAGGCAAACATAAAGAAAAAGAAAAACACAGTATTTGGACTTGTTTATGTCCTACCTGTCAGAAGCCTAAACCTGTAATGTCAACGTAGCTTCAGGTTACATGCAGCAGTGGAGCTATTAACGTACCAAAGCTATGTGTAGGAAAGAAATTGTTTTTCTATCAACTTCTTTTCTAACTTTTAAAAATGATTTACAGTCTCGATTCTGGCTACCAATGGAATGCTTCAATTTCAGCTGAACCATATTCGGAGAAAGATATTTAAAAATAATAAGATGGGATTTAAATTTACAACATTTAATGAAAAATAGTGTATGTTGTGACTGACATTTAACAAAAGCAAAATAGACTGTTGTAATTATTTTTGCAAACCCAAGAAGTAAACAGTCACCTTTGAGAGTAGCTGGAAGAATATTTTTGTAAGCTGTTCTGTACCAGGTACCACAAGCATATTTTGGAGTACTGGAAACTTATTTTGCAGCGTGTTGCAAGTGTGCCTCCAGTAACCCTTTCTGCTTCCGTAAAAAGCAAAGCCCCACATAGACACAGAGAAATGGACTCACTAATTATTAGTTTGTCCTAGCAATAGGTGCTTGTAAATGGGAAGCAGTTGTTGGATTGAAAGAACTATAGGAAGGAACTTGTTACATTTCAATATCTATTGCTAGCAAAACCAGCATTGGAACTAGCTGCAGTGCAGTGGCACAGGTGGTGGCTGCTCTGCGGAACTCCTTCAGTGACAGACAAAATGGGTTACCTCACATGGAGGTAAAACCAGGAGAAAATCAAGTCTGAAAGGACCTGGTTTTAGGGTAGGATGCAGCTGAGAGGCATCAGGATAGAAGGCAGAGGGCAAGGGGTGCCTGCCAGGATGTGATTGCTCCTGTTGTCTGCTGCTGATAACGTGTTAACCTGCCAGTTCTCACGCAGGCCGCGGTTGCTGTGGGCATGGGGCTCCCTGCTTCCATTTGTCAAACCCTGTCACTTAACATTTAACAGTTTGCCTTTACTTGCAACTTTCCAGACATTTTTTTTTTTTAATTATGAGCATCTAAGATTCATATGAAGTCCTAACTGGATTGAGTTTAATATGATTTTTTTCATCCTAAGGGAGGAAGGAGAAGGTGCAAGTGTTTAAATTAACCACTTGAAAATTCTATATAAAATCCAGAAAGTAACACTGTTACTGTCCTGTAATGTTCCCTGCACCGCAGACTTGCATCTCTTTGAGCACATCCATGCTTACACAGCTCAGTTAAGTGTTTGCAGCTGTGGCTGATGAGAATTGGCACGCTGGAGGTTTTGTACAAATAACCTTCATACAAGTTTCAAAGGAGGAAAAAAAAAATCTCCCAAATGGTTACCACTGAACTTTCTGAATTGCAATGACTTTCTATGTCCACTTGCTTTGTCCTGTGTTGATAAGAGGACCAGAATATCTTCCTTTGATTGAAGTTATTTATTTAAGATTATTTAAGTTGATTTAAGTTTCTTTTTTAAGCAAAATAAAATTCATACCCCTTCAAGTTCTAGTCACCTGGCATGTAGACTCCTACTAGTGTGCTGATATATCAGTGAGTGTAGTAACCTGTCTGACCTGTCCTGCAGTTAGTATCTCTAGTAGAAGCTGATCAGTACTTTTAGGATAGAGAATTATTTATTTTTTTCCTATTGGGCTTGAAGGAGGCCTTTTTCTGAATCAGGATATGATAAGCTGTCAGATGTAATGATCAAGAACAGAGTGCTGCTCTGTTCAGTTTTGATGTAATCAAAACCTGTTTGCTCTGTTGACATTAAAGCCTCAAGCACCCAAATTGGTATTTATAATAAGATTCCTAACAGCTGTGCTAGGCACATAGCAGTCTGGGAAATGATCACTCACTTGAAAAGACTTGAAAAGAATGTCTTTTCTCTAGGGTTCAGGGGCATAGAGAAATAGGACATATCAAAGATATTCACAATGTTTTTAAGGAAAATGTAGTTCTGGCTAGAAAACAAAACAGTAAAGTGGTTCTGAGAGGGATTAAGTGAAATAATATTTTTGCTTTTTTAAATGCTCTTTATATTATCCTCTGTTAACATGCAGTGAATAGATTCTGGATTCTCCTTAATGTTGAATCTTCTAAGGCTTTTTTGTCTTGTTTAAGATTGATGGCTGCGTGTAAACTGAATAAATGACTTCTAGTGAGAAAGTTCATTTTGTAATTGGATGACATTTGGCATATATCCTTTATCCTTTAACATATTTTGTGTATACATATTAATACTATACAGACATTATAATGTCTGCATATATATAACTTAGAATTTTGTAGTACTGCTGTCTATAAAAAATTATTTTTAAAAGTACTTCCTTGTGGTAAAGTTATGAAGAGCTAATTTATAATCTCTCTCTCTGCATGTGTGGTATGCGTGTGGATTATTTCCTGATCAACAGTTTTGTATTCCCATAGTTGCTAATTACTGATCAGAAAGGAAAGCTATTATATTTTCAGCTAGATGTGTTTCCTTATTATGAATAAATCTCAAAGGTAATGTTTTAGTCTTAGCCAATGCATACAGGTACAATTCAATACAGTGTTTGGGTTGCCTAGCAGCTACTTAAGGCTACCTGGTCCACATCCAAATAGAAGAAGAACAAATCAGAAAAAGGGATTTTGATTTGAGATGAGAAGGATGCAAGTACAGTGTTTGTTGTTTGTTATGTTTTGTTTTCTCTTCCTGTGAGTATTTGCATGTCTCTTGGTGACGAGTAGTAATGGATACATACAGCTGATCTCCAGAGCGATGTTTTGGTAAGATCAAATACTGAGGGGTGAGTTCTGGGCCTTCTTGCAGGCCCCATCCCAGGTAATTCTGTGACCTCTTTGGATAACAGCACAGCCCGACTGATACAAAATCAGTGGTCAGCTCCACAGCCTTGTGTGCCAGAACACTTCACACATCACTCGCTACATGGTTCATGTGAGTAACCTTCAGAGGCCTGATGCAGGTTTCTTTTGTTCAAGCTAAAACATCAGGTAGAAGCAAGAGGAGGTTTTATTCCTCTCTAGACAGTTCCTCGAGAGAAACACAGCCCACCCTTTGCCAGTGTGGTGCATGCTGGAAAGGTGCAGGGTGTTGGGATCTGCAGTCTTTGTCATGTGTTTTATGTGCCCAGATTGTCCTGGGTTCTGGGCATCTCAGAATTAAAACTGTAATACTTCTTTAGATGTGTTTTATTTCCATTTTCCTCCATGAGAGGATGTCTTTTTGTTTCAGTTTTGCAGGTAGAAAGTTAAAGCTCTTAGTGTCTGTACTTTGGGGCATGCTGTCAAATTCATTGAAGGTTTAATGGGTCAGCT